AAAGAAAAGAGTTTTTTAAGTTTTTTTTTTTGTCATATTAATATTTTTTACCATATTATTATTATTTTTTCATGTCACTATTTGTTTGCCATTTTGTCTTCCACATGTATTAATATTTTGACATGTCATAATGTTACTATGAATTAAAGGGCACGTCATGCCATTTTTAGCGGAGGGATCAAATTAGGGTTAAAATGGTAAATAGTATGGATCAAATCAGAGATTTTTTGAGTTGAGGGATTCAATTAAATATTCGTACAATAGTTAAGGGACCAAAAAAAGAGGTTTAACCTTAAAATTAATACAAAAAGTGTACAATTGATGTATAGATAGGATAGAAAAACCCTAAATTTTACCGCTGTAGTGTTATTAGTGTTAGTTCTGATTGACTTGAGACTTATTACTAGTGAAAATAATCATTTGCAGTGATACAAAAGAGAACAGAAAAAAAAAAAACAGTAGTAAATGGAAAATTTTGTATATTAAGGTATATAGAACTCTATCAGACTCTTAATTTTGATTGGATAAAATTCTTTTTTTTCTTTCTATTTTTTCAAATCAAAATTCAAACATATTATTAACCATGATAGTAGGAGCAGAGTATCCACAAAGAATTTTTTTCTAAATAATGCTAAATAAAATTAAAATCTGAAATGAATAATATGGAAACCAAAATCTGGAATCAATGCCGTTGCCACTTCATTAGTATTAAATTTTTATCCTAAATTTTCATCTTTCTTATCATTATTCATTTTTTTGGGGGTAATTCTTCATCGTCCTTATTTTCACGTCCTTTTTTTTTTTTTCAATTTTTTTCCCTTTAGATAATTAATCGGTTGTGGATGCACCAGGGCAGCTGAGCTCTCGGCACAACTAAGTTGGGTGCATCCAATTTACATCTAATTCAAAAATAAATAAATAATTGATTTTCTGATGGTTGGCTCCTTGTGGGCCTCCGACCTTCATGTCAACGGACCTTAATTGGAGAACCTATCACAGAAATAGGCCTCCGTGAAGCCCAATTCTATAGATTGAAATTTGTTTAGCTAATATCTCAATTATTTGGAGCTTAACCTTAAGAAGGTCTTGGAATTTTAAATAGTTGAGTGGAGTTTGAGAAATAGGAATGCTATCTCCTTTTTGTAGGAGAAGGACAACTACTTAATTATTTTATTTTATTTTTATATAAGTATGATTTTAAAAATTCAAATCAATTTACACATAAATATGAGTAAAGAATTTTTTTTTTTTTATGCATGCAATGACATTAAATTTCTTTCTTTTTTTTACAAGGAGTAAAAGGTCATAGATTTGAATAGTATATTAAGAAGTGACTTGGTGTGGTGGTTAAAAATACAAGAGAAATTACTTTTTATAGTCACATAATTGCAGCACAAGATAAATTTTTTTTTTTCTAGAAAAAAAAATGAAGTCAATTACTTTAAGAAGGATAACTTAATCAATTCCCACCCACTAAACCCATGAACTACTCTTATTATTAGCATTTTCTTTTCTCTAAACCCTGTGCTGTCTCAAAATATGAGCACTTTGTGCCAATGAATGGCTTCGCGTGAGATTAATGTGGTAGCTATTCTTGTGTCGTGTTGCTGTGGTTATGTTGTTCTACATTTCCACTATCAATTTTTATCTCAGATAAGTTCTATGTTGAACATTTTTTTGGGTGGTGGGGACAGAAATTCCAACTTACAACTTCTCATTAGATATCAGCAAATTACTACTCCTGGTTGACTCTTGTAGATTATATTTTTAGTCATATTTTTTATTGTAGAGTATGATACATTATATAATATACAAAATACAGATATCACAACTTAAGTATAATACACAAAATTAAGAAAAATTTGGAGAACTTGAACCCTCAACTTCCAAATTATTAGGCCTCAATCTTTTTTTTTTATATATACTAAAATTTCAATATTTGAAAGCAATATTAAATCTCAATTAATTTAAAGTTAAGATTCAAACTCAAGATTTTATTTGAAAGTAATTAAATTTTTTTTATTTGAAAGTAACTAAATTTTTTTTATTCATCCCAACATTCTGTTAGTTAGTCTATATAACATATTTTGTAATTATATTATTAACATTTTAATCATATTAGTTAACAGACTATATAAGAAAAATTGCTGCCCCCTACACTTGTGGGATTGAGGATATTGCAGTTGCACCGCCAATGTCCTTACTAGTCTTCTTAAGTTTAGCAACCTTCAACCATCCTGTGAGATTTCCCAGAGCAAAGATTAAAAAAAAGTGAAGATTCTTCTTCCTAACTCGTCTAATTAAACAAAAACAACACTTTGAATTCTCTTGGTTCAACTAACACAACATCATTACCTGCCAAAAAAATAATAATAATAACAATAACACAACACCATGTGGTGTCAACTGTAGGGAGGGGCAAGTCTCACTTGAACCATCGACAATCTAGTGAGCAAGGATCTAACTGCCATGTGTTCTTGCTTCTACTTTTTACAAATAAATCATGATTAAATGTACTTTATTTGTTGTACTTATGTTTGTTTATAATGTTTTTGCCATCCACTACTCTCCCTCCTCTCTCTCACCACATTTCTAAGCACAGAATAACTGTGGAGACATAAATTTTTGGAGATGGAGGTTTTTTTTTTTTTTTCTAATTTCATGTTACAAACTTATTAATTTATTAACTTATTTTATCTTACTTTACTCGTATATTTATGTAATTAAAATTTAAAATCTATTATTTTTACTAAATAAAGATTCTCATTTTAATGTAAAATTTTTGTCAATACTATTAAAACGACAAGCTTTTTGATAATTTATGATCAATAAACTCATCTTTATAATGTCTTGTTTTAACAAGAATTTCCAAGTGAGTTTAAAATGCAAAATTGTCCAGAATCATGGTAACAAGGGTGAATATTAAAAGGGAAGACCAATTATTTACAAAGAAGAGAAGGAATTTATGATTTTAATACACTTGATCTGGCATGGGTTCCACCAAAAGGCGGCCTTTCTGCAAGATAAGATTGCGAAGGAGGGGTAAGGGACTACAACACATCTGGCATATAGGACCGCATCTACCAATTGGCCCATTGTTTTGCTCCATTACTGTTATTATTGATGAATGAGACAATAAATTCAATAATAGTTATGTTTCTGAAGGACATTCCCCACTTCGGGTGCAGTTATGGCGGCTCACTGTTCTGTTAATATCAATTAATTTTATTTAATTTAATTATTAAAAATAATTAATAATTAACCAAATAATTAATATTTATTATTTAATATATTAAAATTAATTTATAAATTAATATTTTTAGACACAATAAATTGTTTATAAAAAAATTATAAATAAATAAAATATCAATCAAATAACAATTTTTGAGTGGTCTTAATAAAATAATAAACAAATATAACCACACCTTCTAATTTTATTTTCAGTAAGATGTTAATAAAAAGAAAAATGATATATACCAATAATCTATTTATATAACTACTTATAGTTTTTATATATTATTAAATAAATATATATATAATATCATAAATTAAAATAAAATAAAAATAAAAATAACTAATTATTAAACTATATCTAAAGTTACATAAAACAAGTTAGAACAATAAAAATAGTTCCTTAATCATTTTCATGTTAGAAACACGGGATGCTGACAATGCACCTCTAAAATTATTAGTGGTGCTTTATCAATGAATAATATAATAATACCGTAATGGAGCGGTTTCCGTTTCCCTCAACTTCATTTCCATTTTGGACAAAGAAGGCCTAATAATGTTCAATCTTTTCTTCCATTTTTGTCAACATGAAAGCAGTGCAGAATATAATCATCAGGTCTCCTCAATTGGTTCTTGAAGTGTTACTAATTTATCAATCATATTTCTTACCATAAAATAAAATAAATAATAAAACGGTTTGAGTTCAACACTTTGCTTGTTTTGGAATTACTGGCTAATTGTCTTGGTGCTAGTTCTAGTATAATGCAATTTGTGGGAAGCAGCATCAACCCCTCTGTATTAACAGGAAAAAAGAGTAACAACATTGAGAACGAGACCTGGTTTCCACTTCAACTTCCCTTTTTTCTTTTCTTCTTAACTAATTAATTTCCTAAACAAGATGAGCATTTCTCCCCAAAGAAGAAGGATGTAACATAGGAATTGCACTTAACAAAGAACAAAACATCTCATATAGAGATTGATTCGAAATATACATTTAGACGTACTGATGTACGTAGTCTTTATATCTATATGTGGGATGATAGTTGTGGTCCTAAGTACTACGAACTTCCAGTGGAGATTGAGTGTTGTGGGGAAACAGAAGGAGAAGTGCCACATTCGTATTCAAGATCCTCGAAGCCCCAGAATTCTTCTTGGTCTTCTTCTTCTGGCATCTTCCACCTCTCCGCATCTGTCTCTCCTTCCAGCATTACCTCCAGCACCTGTCAATTTACAGGAAAAAGGAATCCTTCATGTGTAATTTCTTATGGTTTGCTTGTATGGTTGACAAAAGAAAAAGAAGCACATGAGTTCAATAAATTATATGGTTTAACAGCAACTTTTTCAGGTAAACTTACAAATCAGACTAGCTGGATTTTGGTACATGTCAAAATGAATAAATCTTAATATTATGATCCAGAAGATCTGTTATTTTGACAAGTTATATTCTGGTTGCTTCTGTGAGGGGGAATCACAGTTTCATAACCAAATCCTGAGAACTTTATGGTATAGGGAGATAAAGAAGAGAAAAGGGGAATTAGACTGGCATGGTTCATGTCACAATGATGAGTCATATTAGGACCCACATTCCTAATCATTTATGTAATCATATTCTGATACTCTAATCACATGGACTTCTCATATTTTATTTTCTGTGAGTTAAAAGATTTAGATTAGGTAGGACAGAACACCCTCCGACTAACCAAAATTGCGTGAAATCTCAAATAACTATACCAACAACACCAAAATTTAGGACTTCAGCCAGGTTTGCATGCTGCATCCCTCCTTGTGAAAAGGATGTGCAAAGTCATAGCAAGAAAAACCACCAAAAATATAAGATGAAATATGGTGAGACGGCATTTTATTAGGATAGTAAACTCCATTTTATACAATTAGTCACTCAGCTAGTCAATTAATATTTAACTGTGATACGCATAGAGAATACTTATCAGTATGATGTAATGATCCTTATCAAGAACTTTTTATTTTATTTTTACAGAAAATTTGGTTATTTGTACAAGTTTTACTAACTCAAAAGGAAGAAATGGCATTGTGTTAGAGTATTCTATTTATGGGAATAAAGAATGGACCACTGGTGGGCTATATAAAACCATCAATACATCTGTCAAAGAAACTCATTGCTTTGAGATACAATTAGAAATTAGAAATAGTAGTTATCATGAAGCAGAAATTGCATCAAAAACAGATTCCACGAAGCAGAAATTGCTTCAGAAACAGACTTAATAGCAAAAAAAGGCATTACATGAAAATGAAATCATCCTGTGAAAATGTACTTAACATTAAGCAAACTGAATTCATATAATCATATGATCATTCTCAACCTGCATTTCCAGCACTATATATTTGCATTAGCCATATTAATCTTTTTCTTGGTTCCAAGTACTCCTACAATTTATTATTGATATAGACATTTTATAACAGGACCACCCATGTAACAGATACTACAGGAATTATTAGTGATGCACAATAGAATAAAGTATGGAAGATGGTTACCTCACTCATGGTGGGACGCCAAGAGGAAGAAGCCCTGATACAGAGAGATGCTGCAAAGGCAAGTCGGTCTAGCTGCAAAGCATCATAGTCACCTTGGAGTCTAGGATCCACTAGTTTTTCAATCTCCCCATGGTTTAGAAGTGGTTTGGCCTATTAAGTTTAAAAAGTAAAACAATTTCATTTTACCAATTCTTTGTGAATGGATACAAATATTGCTTAATGAACAAAATTTTTTGACATTTTCCTAAGAAGTGCCCTTACCCAGCTGTGTAAGCTTTGATGAGAACTGTCAACAGGTTTCCTGCCTGAAAGAATCTCCAGCAAAAAGACTCCAAATGCAAACACATCAGTCTTCTCATCTACAATTCCATGCATAAAGTACTCAGGTGCTAAATGCCTACATTACATGTAGCAGAAACTCCATTTCAATCAGATACCATAGGTTCATGTTTGATTGAAAAAAAGGGGGGAAAGAGAAAAGTTTTGAGCTTTAGTACCCAAATGTCCCTTCAATTGGAGCAATAGAGTGGTGTGTCCATTGAGAGGGAAGCCACTTTGCTAAGCCAAAATCTGATATCTGTAACCCAAAATTGAGAGAAAGAAAGAGCTCAAAAATACTATACAGCAATAATTGAGACAGAGTAATGAAGGAAAGAGCAATTTGAATGGGTACCTGTGGTTCAAAATCTGCAGTCAATAGCACATTTGAAGACTTAATGTCGCGGTGAATTATCCTTCTTTGACACCCTTTATGCAAGTAATGTAGGCCCCTTGCTGTACCAATTGCAATCTTGTACCTTGTATTCCAATCCATTGGTGGCAAATTTGCATCTAAGAAAGAAGATCTTCATGAGAAAATGCATACCAAAATCCAGAAATGGGAGAGTTAATTACGAAGAAAAAAAAATCAAAATTTTTTTCTGTTACTGGATTTGTACCATGGAGAAGAGAAGCAACAGAGCCTCTAGAAGAGAATTGAAAAATGAGATAAAGGCCATTGTCAATACAACAGCCTAAAAGTGGCAACACATTTGGGTGGCAGACATGACCAATTGTCCCAATCTCAGTCAGAAACTCTTTCTCTTTCCTTTCATCAGTTGAAGCTTTTGTTAACCTCTTCACTGCAATCTCCTCTCCATCCTTTAAAACTCCTTTATACACCTCTGCATAGCCTCCTTTCCCCACCAAATTCTCTGTCACCCAACAAAACCAAAATGAAACATTCAGTAACCACAAACAAACAAAAAAAGAAAAAAGACCTCAAGATAAGCTTGAAAAGCACGGGAGGAACAGTAACAGAAAGCATCCAAAATACCAGAGCTAAAAGCATTGGTGGCATCCGAGATTTCTTCAAAGGAGAAGCATCTCCAAGTGGGTCTCTGGATATGATGCTCTGTAACCAGCACAAAATCGAAACTTTCTTCAGCGAAGCCAAGTGGGGTTCCAATATCTTCCTCAAAACAACGTCTTCTCAGTGAGAAGAGACGTTTCAGGCTGTTAGTTCTGATATAGTTCATTCCCACAGTACCAGGAAAATCTGTGTTTCATGCAGAGACAGAGCACAAGACAAGCTGAAAGAAAAAACCTTAAATGCTCTCCAACTTCAACTCTACCTGTCGAAATGATCAAGAAAACCAAGGATTGAAGAGAAAGGGGACAAACTTGGTTGCGTTTTTGATTGAAGAAATGGTGGGTGTGTGTGCAGGAGATTATGGGGATTAATGGGGGTGGAAGGATAGAGTCAAGTGGGGGGATTAAATGCAGACTCTGATATAAGTACAGAGAAGGGTGAGTCTCGATTTCCAAAATTTGAGTTTTTTTCACTAGAAACAGGAATAAAAATGGATAAAAGGAAGAGGTTGGGGGCGCAAATGAAGGGCGTTGGAGTGGGTCAGTTAAACAGGTTTGGGTCTCTCACTGGATGTGACTGCAAACCCTTTCAATTGGCTGCATCAAATCCTTATATTTATCCCAAGAATCTCAACCTTTTTGAAAAATTGTGAGGTTTGAACATTTTTTTTTTTTTGGTTTTTCCTCGGTATCTGAGGCTTTACCTCGACTAATTCGACTCGCATCGCGCGCTCAAAAATGGTAGGCGAGTCTTTCAACGGGAACTGCTGCATACACAAGGGTTCAAACTTGAAACCTTATTTAAGCTGGAATAAACCGCTTACCACTTGATCCAACCTCATTGGTGAGGTTTGAACACTTGGTTTTGGTAATAAGCGAAACAGGAAATCAGTGAATTTTGAGCTTAATGTAATGTATGTATGCCGGCGTGAAGGTACCGGTTCTGTTCGGTTCAACCATGAGCGGGTCACATCATACCCCCAACCCGTGAGCGCCGGATTAATTCCCCAAAAGTCAAAAGTGAAAACAGCTTCTTCTTTTTTTCTTTATTAATTTTCTTCCAATTAAGGATTTTACAGTAATATTTGTATTTATTTATAATATTTTTAAAAAATAAAAATAAAAAATAAAAATTTTTTTGATTAAATGAGTAATTAAAATGAATGAAAATGAAGTTAAAATAAAAAATATGTATTTATTTTAAAAAATAAAAATAAAAATAAATTTAAAATAAAAAAATAACAATTATTCTATAATAAAAAAAGTATAACGTAATAAAAAGTTAGATTTTGTTTGGTACTTATAGAGATCTAATTTTTATAAATTTTACAATGGATGGAAATCAGAACTAACAATTTATTTAAAAGGATTTTTTTTAATAATTATGATAATACATTATAAAAATGCATAAAAATTAATGAATTTTTTGTTTAAAGTTATGAATTTATAAAATTTAAAATAAAAACTATACTAAATAAATAGAACCTAAAGTTTTGTTTGACAATGTTTTTTGATATTTTAATTTTTAATTTTTATATTTTTTATTATTTTAAAATA